TTGATTCCTGGCAGGGGCGGGCTGGGAGCCAGCCAGCCTGCTTACTGTTACACGGCACTTCGTCCGAGTTGTCCCCGCAGTCATCCACGCCATTGCACCAGTAGCGGCTGGCGATGCAGCGCCCGTTCATGCAGTGCAGGTAACCCTTCTTGCACTTGCGGCTGTCTGCAAGGGAGGAGGAGGAGGTGAGCACGAGGGGAGGGCCGGCACCCCCGGGTGTCTCAGCTCCTCAGGGACCCTTCAGCAGGGGAAGAAACTACACAGGCAGGATTAGGAAACAGGCTCCCTTGTGCTGTGCTGGCAACGTCGCAGGGTTAAGCTTGGCCTTTGCCCAGCAGAGACCCCTCCTGGCTGAGGAGCGAGGGTTGCTGCAGCCCCCACTGGGTTGGCTCAAGGTGTCCCATTCTCCAGCCTGCCCCGCAAAACTGGAAAAGGTCTGGAGCCCTTAAAGCCTCGCCTGGCTGGGCCCATCTCTGGGAGGGCAAGAGGGACTGCGAGCACTTGAGGGACACAAGAAGACGCCCAGGAGTCCTGGCTCCCTTTGCCGAGCAGAGCTGACAGCTCGAGCAAGGTGCCTGCGCGTGCCAGGGGGTGCGCGTATGTATTTGAGCAAAGCAGCAAGAGGAGGAACCTTACTGCAGTAGGACTGCTTCTCATCGGACTTGTCCTTGCAGTGGACCACGCCGTCGCAGGTCCGGCTGAAGTCAATGCAGTCGCCGTTCCCACACTCAAACTCGTCATGCACGTTGCAGGTGGAATTCAGGGCTGGGGAGGGCACGGGGAACGTCAGCTCTGCCAGGCTGCGACCGGCCTCTCCTCCTCCCCTTCCCATCCCCATCAGCTCCCGCTTCCACCTCCCCTCCACCTTTGCAGGTGAAATCCTCCTGCAGGACGCGCTCGCCGCGGCAGGAGCAGTTGACGTGTCCTTTGGGCGTGAGCAGGCAGAGATCCTGACAGCCACCGTTGTTCACTCTGCACGGGGACAGCTCACCTAAGAGAGACGGAGAGCAGTCACACCAGGGACAGTCTCAGCAGTCGCTTCCCCTTGTCCTCTCTGCTGCGGAGAGGAAAAGTAGGGGTACCTCCCCAAGCTCTTCAGATGGGGCTATGGGGAATGCATGGGGTTGGGGGCATCCAGCCTCCCCAGATCTTGCAAGGAGGATGCCCTGGGAAGAGCACAAATGGGGCAAATTCTCTTTCTCTTCAGCCTGCACAGGGTCTGGAGACGGACAGGCCTTGGCGCGAGGGTCCCGAAGGGGCGATGACAGGCCAGGAAGGACGGCGGGATGGGTTCCCCCTTCCCCTGGCCTGCAGACGGGGAAGAGCAGCGCTGCCTGGCAGGGGGCTGAGCCACCTGAGAGAGGGGGCAGAGGTCTGGCAGAGGCGGGGGAGCAGAGGCCCACGGTGGCGAGGCTGCGGGTAACTGGTGGGGCGTGGGGCATCCTTACAGCTGTCGGTGTCGTTGGCCACGGCAATGATGCCCATGGGCTGCTGGGGGATGTCCACACGCAGAAGCTTCATGTCGGTGCCCACATACTTGTTGGCTCGTTGCACAGCTCTGCGCACCCAGTCCGTCCAGAAGATGTAATCGCCGTAGACAGCCAGGCCAAAGGGGTGCACAGGCTCCGATTTCAGGATCACCTGCCGGACATTGGCAAACCGTGAGCACGAGGGAACCTGGCTGTGGGACGCAGCCCCCAGCACCACCCCAAACACAGCCCATCCCAGTGTGTCTGCCCCAGGGGAAGGCCCAACTGCCCCCGTGCCCCAGGAACAGCTCTGCTTTCCTCTGACAATGCGCCAGTCCCAGTTTTGACACTTGCTGCTCTCCTCCCCCATCTCTGCCTCCGGGGCCGGGTCTGGACTCACGTGGCGGTGGGAGCCATCGTATTCACAGCGTTCAATTTTGTCCAGTGTGGCATCAGAGAAGTAGATCTTCTCGGCCTTGTGGTCAATGGCCAGCCCATTGGGGGTCCGTATGTCCTGGTCAATGATGATGAGGACGTTGGCACCAGAGAGGGTGGCACGCATGATGCTGGGGTGCTGCTCATTCCAGTTGGTCCAGAACGAAGGGAAGAGACACGCAACGCCTTTGCCACCACAGCTCTCCGCCACGTATGTGTTGGCTCAGCCCACCCCTCTGTTGCTGTGGGCCTTCCAGGGACTTTGGGATGGATGGGACTTTGTCCCCACATAAAAAGGAGTGGGAGGGGGATGACTGAGGCCACTGCAGCCGGCTGGTACCAGCCAGCCAGAGGAGGGGATGGGCAGGGTTTCTGTCTTTGCTTTGGGGCGCTGAAGGACGTG